GAGGAAGTAATCCGGCACTCGTTTGCTCTGGCGCCAGTTCTTTTCACGTGGTGCAGGGTCGAACTGGGTGCTGTGGGCAGCAGGAGGTGCACACACACACACACACACACACGGGGGGGGGGGTGGTATTCAGCGCCATGGAAATGGCATCGCGGATAGTTTAGTGTAGGCCTATGTAGGCTCAAACAGACTCAAATTAGCCCATTATCCAGCAGCCGTTCTTCCTCATGCACTGCAAAGACTTAGACTTCCTGTCAACACAGCCCCTTCGACTGTGGATGTCTCGAGCGGGTCGTCTCTCCCTGATTGTCTTTCTCTTTTTCTTTTTTTTTTCGTTACAGCGATTTTTACCAGAATACAACGCCTGCACAAGCGGCATGCGTTTGTAACACATTGCACACACCAATATTGCGTGTGGAAGAACTTTGCAGTATTGCCATATGCGTCACAACGCAACCAGTGCCCATGTTGCAATAGAAACGGCATCAAATACAATCCTACAATCCTACACAAGCAAGGCTGCCTTGACCGCATCGCGCAGGCAACACACCAGCACCAGCAACTACAACGACCATAGCGCAACATGCAGTCCCTCCGGAGTAGGGGGTCATGAGAGCACGCACACACACACGGTGTCACCAAGGGGTGACGCAAGATGGAAATACAAGCAGGCAGAAGGACCAACCCACAGCTGGCTACCACCTGCGCTGTGAGGTTTCCCAGGCTCAAACAGCTGACGTGTTTTTCACTCGAACAGACTAGCGAATCAAAACCTACTATTATATCTGTTTACGGCAGTCTTACAAGTTGCAATGGTCGTAGAGAGCTTCGCTGATTTGCTTGGGCACCGTCTCGTCGACCTCCATGATTGCCGCCTGGTTCCCGCAGCGGTAGCAGTAGTTAGGGGCGCTGAAGATGGTGCAAACCCCCTGAGAGAATTAGTTGGGCAGAGGTCAAGGGTAGGAACAAACACAAGCAGTGGGGGGGGGGGGGGGGGGGGCCCCCCAGAGAGGCCCAAATCAAAAATTTTTTTTACCCTGGAAAGGGCAAAGGGGCCCTTTTTTTCAAATTCCCCCCTGGGGAAGGGAAGGGGGGCGGCGGGGGTGCCCCC